TACTTGGTTGAGAAACGACAGAAGTGACAGAAGTGGTTCATTGGATGGACCGAAACACAAACCAGAAAGGCCATAAATATTATAGACTTAACGCCTGCTACCTTCACTTGTTCCTGAAGTCGTTAATGACACTTTCACCGAATAAGCCTTCACAAAATTATTTATAAATAATTTATTTGTAATATAAATAAATGCATTGCTTGTTTGTCATCGAAACCCATAATGCATGTGTCGAAAAGGTTTATTCAGGGTAAAAGGAGGTGTTTGTTCGGCTAAACAAACTGAATTATTTCAGTGACTCAAGCTCCATGTGGCTAGAATCTCTGCTTCTGTTATCAGTGGAACAGACTTTAGCTACAAAACTTGCTGGTACACACTACACTGGAAAAGTTGTATGGTTGCTCTGTCCTTTTTTTAAAAAAATTGGTGGTCGGCCTTTCAAGTCATATCACATTTAAACTAACGTGCTGGAACTTTTGTGTGTCAAAATTGTAACAAACTGAACCCTTGGATTATTCAAGAAGCAACTCTCCCCCAAAAGCCACAAAAAAAAAAAAATAGACAAAAACAACAAAAAACCTCTCAGTCAGCACTAAGGTTTGAAATATTGTTTGTAAGTAATATCTTGAGGATTTACTGTTTCATAAGGATTGTGAAATATTGCCATTGCATGGAGATGTATTGGACCTCCATATGGACGAATGTATGCAAAAGGGAACAACCCAACATTTTAATCTTGAATTACCGGGGTGAAATAGGGTAATGAACCAATTAGCAAAACAGGTTTTCTTGGTAACCCATAATCCATCACTTTGTATTTCGCACGCATGCAGTACTGAGTTACCTCTCTTGTCACGACACCCTTTCCCGAGAACAGAGTTGTAACACGTAGCAAATCTTGGCATCTTACAAACAAATGAACACCCCACCAAAAAATGCAACTATGACAAGAAATTATTGCCCAGTCGTGGGTCTCTGTTCAACACCTGAGGCTAACAAATCATGAGTTAGATGTATCTGGGCTAAGTGACGGCTGCAATGTTGTAGGCCATGAGAGCTAACAGCTATCAACATTTTTCTGATAATGATTGATGTGATTGAGTGTTCAAACAAAAAGTTGAGGCCTTACCGTGCAACAAATATTTCATGATTCTACGTGTCGGGTGATTGCACGCATATTCAACGTACAAAGACCATAAAATTTAAAAAATAAAACTCAACAAGGTAACCTTGATATTTGACTGTAAACAAATTCTACAAAAACTTAAAAAAAATTCAGAAATCCAAGTGGTGTGGTAAGAATCAAACCACAGACCAGAACTTGGAAACTAAGGAGTAATGTCTGCATGTTCATTCTAGTACAAGCAGCACAAAATAAGAAAAAACAAATTTCTTAAATAATTTTAAGCAAAAGCCACACTGGTTAGGAACTCAGTCACACATTTTCTTGGCTCATGTAGGAATTGAACCACAAACCAGTACACAAAAACAGGATGACTACGTGCGGCCTAAATGCTGCAATTGTTCAACCTCGGGCAGGTCAGAGTGTCCTTTTTGTTTGTTTGTGTGTTTGTTTGTTTGTGGGGTGGGTTGTATGGTTGTTTGTTTGTTGGGTTGTTGGGGGGTGTTTGTTTGTTTGTTTGTTTGTTTGTTTGTTTGTTTGTTTGTTTGTTTTTGGGGAACCTAAATTGATGCCAACTTGAAGACTAATACACCTTTCTTCATTCCCAAACTGCACAGCCATTTAATTTAATGTTGTAGCTAAGCAGACAATTTTGCTTAGTAATTTGTACCTGTCTAAGCAGTATCCAGTTTTAAGCCAGTTACACACTGTATACATACATGCATTTTGCCTCAAATAATTTTTTCTGGTCGCCCATTTTTATGAAACAGAGTTTTTTTCTGAGTTCAACAAAAAACTGTGGTAGTTTGGTCAACATGTCACTTGTTATTGGCTTGATTTTGTAGAAATCCTACAAAAAAGAAACAAAGCAAGAGGGCATGTGATGTTTGTTGTTAATCATGCATATTACTTGTTGCCAGTTTACCACTGAATTTTGTTTAACTCATTAGCCTTAGGTGGTACTTTGTTTGAAATGGTTCCCTTTAACCATAGTTTACCATGTAAATGGGTAATTTTGAGTATATTGCTGCTTGCTCACATTAGCAGTTTTTGTACTTTGCAAATTGCAACTCAAGTGCTGAGAAAAGGTGTGGCTGGTCTTTGATTCTTGAAGTCTAGGACATCAGGCTCAGAATTCATCAAGTGTTTTCCTGCCCCAGTACAACTCGGAGAGGATTCCATGTCAGGCGAAAGGGCTGGGAAGACATATAAAGTTCGGGGCTCCATTACAAACACAACTTTGCACCGCTGCACATTGTGAATTGGCTCGGAATGTCGGTTGCTAGCCAGCACAGTTAACGTCAGTGCTGGATCTGATGTAGGCTAGATTAGGGTAATGTTTCAGCCGCTCGGGTTGGTTTGCTGTAATGGATCCCCCTATTTCCATGCCTCTGTATCTGGAGCGGGCGCAAACAAAATGTTTGTGCTGAAATTGAGCGCCCCACTTTAAAATGAAATCGGCGGTATCGTTGAAATAACGAAGAACATTGTATTTGCTCGTTGTTGTACTTTTGCCCCCAAAAGCCAATGGACACTAACATATTTCTTTTTGCATCGAAATAAGGTTCCCTGAATTGTGGCAAGTCATTGGCATCTTTATCATAATCCAGGTTTCAGAGTCTAGAAAGTTTCTTTGATTGCTTCAACTTTCAACATTATCTCTTCTAACTTTTCTTTGAGAGTTTCAAGGGAAAATACACTCTGTCACTAACACAGCAGTTCGGATAACCTTCAAGTAGGTTCATTTTCTTCATGTAGGCCCATACATGTAATTAGCTCCTTTTAATGGCATTTTTCACAATGCGGATACATGCACATACTGCACACATCTGAAGTGTTTTTTTTTAGACACGACTCCTCTGGTACTCTTCCCAGTACATGTGAGCTCACAAAGGGACCAGTAAAGCACAGGGATTTATACCAATCCTCTCATTTCAATTTTGTTGTTGAACAAGTTGATCAACAACACTGGCCAGCGGCTATCTTCCCCCCATCAGAATGCTTAAATGATTGATAACCTATGTGGTCTGTATTGTGTTGGGGGTTACTTGACAGATGTGAAAGGACTTTAGTACCAAGGCACAAAAAACCTTTCAGTTGTACAAAAGTTCACATACTTCCCTCTTTTCTAACTTTTGATGGGGACAGAAATTCGGTTGAACAGGTCACTGTCACATTTTGAGGGGGAATAGTCCCAAAATGTAGGTCTGCATTGAACACTTTTACCGGGTTGTAATTTGGGAATGCGTGTATTTGGGATGTACTGCTAAAATCTAATGAGATTTGTGTTCACGCTTTATTTCAAGTTCATTAAGTGAGAGTTTTCGCAATAACTGTGACTGCATGTGTAGTTGTTGGTGGTGGTAGTTACTCAGCTCTTTTGACTTGAGACTCAGTGCCTGAATGAGAGATGGTTCTTTGTTACATAGCAGCAGCATCCAGTCAGGCCAGTTTTTACAGGGTAACTCCAGGAGTCGCGCCAACACATTGCTCGCTTGTGGGCATTATAATGCAGAGCATGCATGACCATTGTGGGATCTTTGCCTGGGCACGAGCCATAGGGCTCGCATCACGGTGGTGCCGCACCAGTGGCAGAACAATTTTCATGGTGGGGTCAAGTTGTTAGACCATCAGGCATCAGCCATTAAGGGCTTGATCCATTGAGCCCCACACCATAATAGGACCTGCAAAAGGTAGGGGGAGGGCAGGCCCCCAGTCAAAAATCCCCCCCTCCCCCACTTCCACCACCATTGGTTGTCGCATGCATGTGCCAACCAAGTCTTTCTCCTCCTTCATCATGGACGAGATGGAACTGATGCATGGTGTCTGTAGACCGATCCCACCACGGGATGACTACACTGTGTAGAGTCAGGGGAGGGAGACACCAGACCAGAAATGATGGAATCATTATGCCAGATGGCATTAGAAAAATCACCGTAATGGGGCAGTTATGCTGAACAGTTGCTGGCATGATGCCAACACTGCTGCAGTCCACAGTGAGTGCATGATAATCTCTCGGTGTCTTGCATTGGTGTACATCATTAGATTTTATAGACGTGGCTTAAAAAATTAACAATCCTTGGGGTTCGAAATGTTATGTTGTAATTTGTAAGATTGTTATGAACTTTTTCACTGCAACCTTTTTGGCATCAGGATATGTAAATTTGATTGTTTGGTTTTGCCATTTGCCAAATAAAGGCTCATTTGACTGCACTAGTAAGCAAGAGGTTATGGGTTGTGAGTCTGCCAAGCTCGTGCCTTGTTCACAAAATTTCTCAAAGGTTTGTTAGCCTAGGGTAGGCAAAAGACTTAAAGATTGAGGTCTGATTTTCATTCTTGGAAGCACTGTTTTAAATGTCACAAATTCCCTGTTACTTCTGTAAACAAGTACTTTTTCACACATTAACAGAGAAAAAATAATAAATAAATTTGTTTTCATTATTTTCATTTTGTATTCATTACCTTTTTCTCATTTAAAACAGTTTTTCTTTTCCGATTCTACTAGCCCAATAACTTCATTTCGTTGGCTTTTACTGTTTAACTGGTTTGACACATGTTTGACAGGTTTGACACCTTTTTTGACAGGTTTGACACCTTTATTGACAGGTTTGACACATTTTTCAAGTTTGACACATTTTTTCCAGGGATGACTGCCAGCGAATGGTAAAAAGATTTTTCAAAAGATAGACAAACAAACCTTTCACGTTTCAGCAAAAAAGGTCGAGCTGTCTGGTTGTTCAATAAGTACATTGTGCTCTGCACTCAATGCTATGGGACGGTTATGAAGTTTCCTACGTACTTGTATAAATCGGTTTCTTTTCATATTAGTCCAGATAAAAAGTAAGGTAGTTTATGCATTTTCGGTTCTCTTTTGCAGGCCTTGGATATTGTACATTTCTCTGGAGTTTGAGATGTCTTACAAGCTTCTCTGGTATTTTGGATTAGACTGGTAAGTGTAAGCCCAATCGAGAAACTCTCAGATACAATAGGTATGTAGGATTGCTTTGAAAATGGTTTACCAAGAATGTTGCAGTAGTTCATGTGTTGTCCTGTTTACAACTCAAATGGAACTTTTAAAATGTGCCAAATATTGTTAGTGACTTGGTTACTGTAATGTAACAATTTATATGACCTGTCCGTTTTATGGCAGAAACATTTTCTATTTACCACTTGCCGCCGGATGACGTGCTGAAACACACAGTTTTCCTTATTTGTTCCACAGAGGATGTATACACTCTGTTTGAAAATTCCTCTTTCATTTCCGCGATTGACGTATTAAGGCATTGTGCTTGGTTGGGTTAGCAATAAACTGCAAGGCTGAAGAATTTGCAATGAAAAAAAAAACACCACCCCAGGGAGCTCTTTCAGGGTAAAAAATACCTGACATTAACTGGTTAAGAATCCTGCTTGTGAAACAAAGGTGCACGATTGGCATAGCATCAGAAGACTGTTATTTGTGACAAGTCCGCAGTCATCTTGTAGAACGTGCATAAATGAAATAAAGGGTCCTCCAAAGAAACCACTGAAATGTTAGGATTTGAAAAAGTAACCTTTTAGTTGTTCCTTGTGGAGTCTAGAAGGAAGACCTGGTCAACACTGGTTGAAACGGTGTCTGATTTAAAAAAAGTCGGCATTCATCAGGGATGCCACTCTCATCCACTGAGTGCAAGATTCGCACATTTCATGTGTTATTCTTGTAGTGTTACACTAGCCTGTGATTTATCGAGCAAAAAAAAAAAACAAAACAAGGAAATAAAAATTAAGCCTAATTTGCTTAACCCTGCTGTGTCCTGTCCCGAAGATGGTCCTTCAGGTTATATCTGGTGCTAAAGGGACATTTTGGATTTTATCAGTCACTGGCAATGGAAGTGGGATAGCCAGGGGGACCAGTGGCCCTCCCACTTTTTGACTGGGGGGCATTGCCCCCCTTCTCTTTGCAGGTCCTTTAATGGGGAAGGGCTTAATGGCTGATGCCTGATTGTCCAACAACTGGCCCCTGCCCCACTTTGGAAATCGTTCCACTGGCGGCGATCACAGTGGTAATGATACACGTTTCATGCAACCAGGACTTGTCTGTATTTAGGCCTTTTTACACTAGACAAATCTCAAGAGTTGAAGCAGGGTTGAGGAAGGGTCGAATCCACACTTTTCATTTTCAGCCACTGGGCCAACCCAGCATCAACCCTGAGATTTACTTCAACCAGGGTTGATCTCAATCCTGCTCTGGACCAGGGTTGAGATTTTTGAACCGGATTGAAAATTGTTCGGGGTCGTCTCCAGGTTGAACTCGCCCCGAAAAGCCCGGTTTTGCTCGAAACAAATGTAAGCCAATGCTGCGTTGGGCTTGAAAAATCAAATTTCCAACCTATATGTTACACTTCCAGCTCTGATATTGCTTACATGTACATATCCCAGTCCCCTCTAGCGTAACTGAGTAAGGGGGGGGGGGCTTGACTTGACCATCATTAACCAGTTTGGAAGCAAATTCTGGTCCGAGCCCCGTCTCCCCGCTAACAACCTTGGGAGTGCCACTGATTACACGTTTCTTTGAAAATTGAAGAATTTTGACCATTGTGGCACTGTGAGGAGGGAATTCCTTGTTTTTTTTTCCTTTTGTTGCAGTACAAGTGTTTGTGTGAAAGTAACATGTAATCAGAGGCCTTCTGTAAGGAGAATAACCTAGAAAGCTTTTGACCAGAGACTTCTGCATGCCGACTTCTGCAAAGTCTCTTCCCCGGACCCAGATCTCCTGAAAAGTTACGAGCTTCTCTGTTTTGATTTCAAGAGTGCTTCCCCTACAAATTGTCTCAACTTGAACTTTGTAACGCACTCGACTTCCTCATTAAAACACCCCTTATCTGGTGATGCCCATAAAAAGATGTTGAACAATCCCGAAGATGTAACCTTTGCAGCCGTGCTGCCGCGACTGCATGCCGTAGTAAGAAAAAAATTCATGCAGATGATGTTGTAAGTGGGTTAAGGGGGTCACAATTGGGGCAGGTAATGGCCTCTAAATGAACAGTATCTGGCGCCAAGTCCGTCATCATGATGCTGGCAATTACACACACATAGCAGTCCCTAGACCCGGATAGGTTCTTTTGGTGCGTTGGCCCGTCTGCCGTTATTTTATGGCCGATGTCAATTTTTTGGTCAGTTTTGGTCGTATTCCAAACTCCTATTTGGATGATTTTTTTTTTTTTTTCAATTTTAATCCAGTGGGCGAGGTAGACAATTTATGCCACCGGCTGGCCCTGCTTGGAGGGCATTAATCTTTGTACCCCTTCCCGAACATGTTGGCATGCAAACAGGGCCAGTTGCCTCTGAATCTGCCCCAACAAGTTGGACAGTTTTTTTTGTGGTTGGTGCAGATTTTAGGGTCTTAAAGGGGGAGGGAAGGAGGGAATGGTTGCAGGCAGGCAGCCTGGAGGAAATAGGAACGAAAATTCAGTTTTAGAAATCAGAAACTAACTGTTGACTTTATGGTGTTCCAGGACACATGCAGAGTGTATTCGGACAGTACACAATGCAGGGAGGGGACTTCATTGTGAATCGGAGATTTTTGGGCAAACTCATTCGCAAAGGGCTTCTTTTTTTTTTTTACATCTATCCGTACTGGTAGGCCATTTTTTCTGCCCGTGATACAAAAGTCCCACCATCACCTGAGCAACAAGGAAGCACCTTGTCTCTGTCCTTCACCGTGTCTCAGCGTGTTTTTTTTCTTAATCCAAATCCCAGCTTCATTGTTTATTCCTTCATTGTATCTCTGTCACATCTGAAGAAGGAAAAAGTAACAGATGTTTGTTTGTTTCACTTTTATTTGTTGGACTGGGTGGAATAAACGATTGGGTCATCAATCTGGCTAGTGCCCCGAGCTCCAGTCATACAAGGAACATCTTTTCTTTCCATTTTCTTCAATCATTTTGCACTTGCATACTCAGATGATGCATTTATAAGGTATAGGTAAAGGGACATAAGTCTCCTTTCACTCCCTGCGGTTTCTCAGTTTTGTTGCCAATATCAGTAGTTGTTATTCCTCAAATTGTGGAATATTTAGAGCTTTTTATGCTTCCATGTTTTCCATGTTTTGCCACTCATGAACAGTGTAGCAAGGTTTGGGCACTTTGACCCAAAAAATGCGTTTTCATTTGTGAGAGAACCAACACCGTATCACAGACACTCTAAGCTGCCGTGAAAAGTCACGGTATTTTCTTGTCATGGTTACCACCCCTCTGCTAGACATTCTATAGGGCTCTGCTCATCTCTGAATCACCTTTTCTCCTTATGAACATTCATATACATGTATAAAAAATGATCAGTTACCGAGCCTAGGTTTGTGTCAGAAAAGCCCTCGTAAAATGGCCTCTGCTTTTGTGTTCGAATGTAAGCTCCGCATAGATTGCCCGGGCCAATCGGTGGAGTTGTTGTAAGGGGTACATGAGTTTTATTTACAACCAAAGTCCAAATTTTCTGTTGTAAAAGTCTCAGTTGACCACAGCTGCATCCTGGGGGCAATGCGATGTCTTAACTTGGTAAACTAACAACATTTGAATTCTCTCTGGTAATAAAATCAAGAATTTCTCAGATGTGCAAAGTCTCTATAGCCTGGAAGCCTGAAGACACCTCTGCAAATGAGGATGACACTTTTAGTGCCAGAAAGATGGGAGAAAACCCTGGAATGAGGTAGCAACTGAGTTTTACCCAATCCATACTTCAATAGTGTTGTACATTTTGAATAATCATCGAATACATAATTTTACTGCCAAATATCAAATCAGTTAGGTGTAAAAAAAAGGGATTGGACAGTAGATGCACCAAGTCAGTCATGGTCAGTGATCCAACTTTTTGAAATGCCTGCTGATATTACGGCAAAACTCAAATTTGTATAGCCAAATGCCTTTTTTACGACAAGGCCTTAAATTTAATAACCAAAATCTGTCAAAAACTTTAAAAGAAATCAGTCTACTTCATGTGAGCACATTATGCCAGTTATACTTGATTTGGATTTCAAAGGACACAATATCTTTCACGTTTCTTTAAAATAGTGGCATACTGCAGAAGCAGAGATTTCCCATAACAACTGGTAATAAGCAACAGACTTGTCCTGTAAAGAAGTGTATGTCAAAATTATCTGGCAAGCCTGTTTTGATTTAAGATGATGAATTTTGGTATGACCTAGAGGAAAGATTTTAGTCTGTCAATGAATTGATGCTACAAAGATCATCAAAACTTGCCATAAATCATATTTAAGGCAGAAAATTTTAACTAAAATGGAGGAAAACTGCATGTACCAGCAAAGTAAAGAGCCAGCACAGTCCATTGTCCGAATTAGGGAGTACTTTTTTTTGGGAGGGGGAGTAGAGTTGAACTGACCCGTGAGGGTTCAAAATCCTGTTCTGCACCTTGAGCAGGTGAGTAGTACACGTACTTTCTGCCCTGACGGTGCCATTTCAGTAGAGAGTATCCCAGAAAAAAGAGTCAAGGTTGGCATTGTACATTTTATAATTTACAAAAGTTCTTTCATAGGGATAGGAGTCTCTGTTTCATGAGTAGGCGTTCCGTGAATGAATGGCCAGATCACTTGCCAGCCAGAGGAAAATACTGGTATCTCTTGAATGGTAACAGTTTATAGGGAAATAATACATTAACCCTGACTGGTCACAATGGAAGATGCTGCATGAAATCTCCTAGCTCTTTGTGATTCTTACTTTTCATTTCATCCTCGTGCAAATCAGGAGATATTGGGAGTTTGATGTTGTAGCTATATTACAGGCTTTTAAATGGTTTTGTATACTTTCATTTTTAGTACGGGAAAAAGTGAAAGGCTGAAAGAGGTCGTTCACAGTAATTATGGAAGGTTGAAAACTATAATAGGGTGAGTGTAACTGTTTTCCAATATTCCAGAGCACAGTGTTTTGCAGAATTTCAGGATTTGTTTTTAATTCAAAATGC